CCTTCTTATCATAAAAACTATTTGATAAATTAAATATATTGTCTGTTTTAAAATCTTAAAATATTTGCCATTTTTCGATACTATCGCTATTTGTGACATGGTATTTTAGCTCTAAAAGTGGCCTGAGAGGTAACCCTGGACCCCGAAACTTTTGCCCGCCAAGCTTCCCCCTCCACTTTCTGAAAACCCCGAAGTGGACAGGCCCTGGTAGAAACCAAAAGATATCTGTCAAGTTTTTTAATTGCAATATATGTCGTTTGAGGAAAGGGGAGGAGGGAGGAGTGAGGGGGAAGTGTGAGTGTGTGGGGGAAGTTGCCGTGTTGTAAACAAACACAGAAGAAAGATTCCTTTTTCAAATATGTGTCGATAAAATGGGTTCAACTCGCCAATCCTCGTGTTTAGATCATATCAGGGGTGTCTTCAAATTTTAATGACATCGCTTGTTTAAATCAACGGATTCCTAGTCCAGTCTTAACCTTTCTTCCGCGTTCCTTTTGAGTTAGATCATTGCATACATTCTAACGTCATGTACCATGAGATGACGTACTCGTGGCCTCGCCAAAACCACGACATGAAGAATAAGAACAAGTACCTCTCTATTGGTTGTGTTTGTCTTGTGGTTATTGTGTGGTTATGGTTAGCCACTCCAGGTAAGTGTATTGTTAAGTATTGTATTTAAAATGTTTTCAAACATTTAACACTATCTTGGGTTTATTTTCTTGAAGGAAACCTTCAAATAATGTTGTAGATGTATATATTTTTATTATTATAAGTCTACCTGATTTATTTTCTTACATGTACAATTCTAGGTGTTCCGCCTTCTCATCACAGTGTTGTTCCTAAGTTTCCAAAGTTTGACCCTGAGTTCCAGAATGATGCTGTCAGGCAGCGTATCAATGAATTGGAAACTGAGGTAAAATATTACGGATATTGGATCCTTTTTAATATCCTGTGATAAATGCAAGAAACTCTTACCTTTATTTTGCTCAAAACAATCTGTCAATTGGAACTATTTCTCAGGTTCAATATTTAAAGGCCACTGCATCAAACTGCAGAATACACAAATTGACACTTGATCCTGATTTACCTGTGATTTATGCCATCACCCCAACCTATGCACGTCCTGTTCAAAAGGCTGAGCTGTCACGGTATTAATCATGTGAAGTCTGATACACAAGTCTCATTATATAGGTTGGATCTGTGCTGATCACTTTCATTTTATTTGGTCATAGGCTGTCCCACACATTTATGTTGGTTCCAAATTTACATTGGATAGTTGTTGAAGATGCAGATGACAAAACACCTCTTGTTGCAAATCTGTTAAGAAAGACGGACATTCCTCATACTCATCTTGTAGCTCCAACACCACAAGAGTGGAAAAGGAAAGAAAAGGTAAGTTCTACCGATGAGTGATTCACAGTCTCTAAAAACTTTTCAAAACACAAAATTTAGAGATAAAATATAACTGTACTCCAATTCAATTTTTAACTGCTAGGAACCCAACTGGAAGAAACCTCGAGGCGTTCTACAAAGAAACAAGGCTTTAGAATGGCTTCGCAATGAACTGAGCTATGATGTGACCACTGACCAAGGTGTTGTGTACTTCGCAGATGATGACAATTCTTACAGCTTAGAAATTTTTGATGAAGTAAGTAATTTTTTTACTCTCGCTTCTGAGTTTGTTCTTGAGCAATTTGCTTAGTGTTTTGTTTGTTTTCTAGATGCGAAAAATCAAGAAGGTTGGTGTGTGGCCTGTTGGATTGGTTGGAGGTTTAATGGTTGAAAAGCCGGTATTAAATAAAACTACTCACAAAGTTGCTGCATTTAATAGTGGCTGGCGGCCGGAAAGACCATTTCCGATTGACATGGCTGGATTTGCAATTAATCTTGGATTACTTTTGGATCATCCAGAGGCTCAGTTTTCATTGACTGTTGAAGGAGGTTATCAAGAAAGTGAAATATTAAGACATCTTGTCACTCGGGAGGAACTAGAGCCATTAGCAGATTATTGTACAAAGGTAACCTGCACTCATATTTATTGTTTATAATTTTACCTGCCAACAATAAATATTGTTTCCTTATGCACTGCGTTTCTCTTTTCAGGTGTATGTATGGCATACAAGAACTGAAGCCCCTAAACTTTCAGGAGAAATGCAATTGCGGAAGAAAGGAATGCGGTCAGATCAAGATATGGAAGTGTAATAATTGCTGAGAAACATTTTTTATTGAAAGTAAAAACAGTTGTAGCTTTCACACACCAATACCTCTATTTGTTTTCTCTACTTGTTTTACTCATGTGTATTGCTCACAGTGTGCAAACCTTCCATCTTTTCATGTAAGCCCTTTAATCATGAGAGACTAGTTTAGATTTGTGTGCACCCCTTTGTTTCTTTTCTTTTTTTTCTTTCATAATATCAAGAACAGTTCAAAAGATTGTATTGCTGCCTTTATTTTGTCATACCATAGTTATTTTATTTTATGTGTATGTTGAACAAAACATATTAGTTTTACAGTAATGCCATGCATAACCATGGTCCAATTGTCAGCTCTCGATTTTCCTGAAAACTACTTTTAAAAAACAAGGAGGGTGTTTGTATTTGAGGTCATGTTTGTAATTGTTCACATGCCCCACCCCCTCTCAAAAAAAAGGACCTAAAAGTAGCACGAGGCTTATATTCAGTGCGTTACAGCAGTACCACATCTCAACTTCAAGAGATGTCAGATTGATCAGTTCTGTGAACTCATTAGTAGTTCTTTTGTGGTGGCCATAAATGTATTATGACATTACAGTGAGACTGACTAGTTAACCAACTTTTTTAAAAATCCAGTGTCCTTGATTCTTGCACCATATCATATTTGCATTATGTATACAAGACCGTTTACCATCTTGACCTACTTATTTCTGTGATTTCTGTTTAAATTTCTTCTATTTTAATGTTACCTGTTTTGTAGTGTATTTTATGTTGTTAGTGTTTTACTTTTATTAGCTAGATATTGTATTTAAGAATGTAAACATGGCAAGATGATGCATGTTCAACTCAATTTTATTTATTTCTTAGCTCAATTATTTCATATTTGTAAACCTTTAGTTGAAAATAAACATTTTTTCATAAAATGGATGGAAAATTCGGAACAATCTTTGTCATACAATCAAGTGTGATGTCAGATGGAGCGTCGGGATGGTAGGCAGCCCATAGTACATCGGCACAGGGTCCTTACCGGGCGGGAGTGGTAGAGGCAACAGGAGGAGTGAACGCCGAAATACGCAATTCCGGGAAACCGGGATCAGCATATGCTCGGCATAGTGCCCCGGTGGAAAGGGCCTCGCGCCTCGCTATGAACGGCCCATGAATCTTGGGCCGACAAGAGACTTCGTGGTTCGTCAAGTCAAGTAAGTACTTATTAGGGAGTGAAGGCGCGCGAATGCGCGAGTCTTCTCAAGCGCTGGTGGGTCAGTCGGAATTTTTAAAATGGTGAATTGGTTATTCTCATACAGAGTTTTATGGTTACATAGACTAAGGGCCTTTGAGAAGTTCATTAGGCCTATAATGTAGTGTGTTTAGT